TGTGTGGTGGAAGGAGACGTGAGCAGGGAACCTGTGGCCTGGGGGCCAAAGCTGTACACTTCTGAGGCCGCTTCTTCCCCCCGCCATTGTTCAATCACACAATGGTGGCTCACCAAAGGTGTTGAAAAAGCCTGTTTAACCCTCACTGAAGAAAAGTTTCCTTGCCTCTCATCGAACAGATCTAGCAGTCTCAGCAGAAAGAATCAGGCTCTTTGTCCAGTCCACTCCCATTTAGTTCTTTGAGAGTTTACCTGAGTAAAGGCTGAGAAAGTCAGTCTTTCCACTGTATGTCAGTATACACAAACCATTGGTAGGACCTGGCCCCACTAATACCCGCAGTCCATGATTCCACATTTCATTTTCTATTGAGGAGGAGAGAGAAAGGCCTCCATTCCTCCTCTGTCACCATCGTCGCCAGTGCTTGCATGTTCTCCAAATCTAGAGCACAATTTGCATGGGAGAGACTTTGCTATTTTTTCTTCTCCTGTGGTAGCACAAATTTGACATGCAACAACTTTGGACTTTTTGATGTCAGAGATGACTCACGAGATAGACATTGGCTTTACAGATTAATCTTCCTTAAACACATCTTATTTCTCCCTTATGACTTGCCAAGAGCGTTTATTTCTGCTATACTAGGAATAAAATCTCAGCCATGTCTCTGGAGCATTACATATTGCAGACTCTGTCTCTTTGGCCCTCTGCATTAATTTTCTTCAAATGACACCAAGGGGCCAATATGTTACATTTGCACTATAGGTTTGACAAAATTTTGGCTTCTATTTATAATCATTTGTGTAAAAAGCATCAGTTTGGGTTAGTTTAGACCTATTGTGGAGGGAACTGCTCCAGCACCAATCATTGCAAAATTACTTTCACTTTCTGTACTTGCTGAGGTTTGTGTTTTTGATACAGTGTAAATTGTATTAGAGATACTGACAACTCTCTGATGCGCCACTGGAGGTGCACACTGAAAGGCTCTATTAACACCAGTTTGGGTCTCCTGTCCCTTTTAAGAGGATTTCTTTACAGAATTGGGTATTGAGCCTACTCTAGTTATTGGGGTTGATTCACAGCTGCATGACTCCATGGCCTGCTGGTATAATCTAAAATTAGATTAATATTACGATCAACAACATACAAGTTGCAACAAGGGCAATTCCAGTTAGATATTAGGAAAAGAAAAAAAAGCACGACAGGGATACTCAAACACTGCGAGAGGGGCCCAGACAGTCTCCAGAACCTCCACCCTTGGGGATATTCAAAGCTCAGCCCTGATCTAATAATCTGCTTTGAACAGAGATAACCTCCAGAGGCCCCTTCTGGCCTCAGTTATTCTATGATATGATGAGAAGGGCCCCTTTGCTGAAGCACTAGAGTGCTTCAGGTGGCGTATAATATCTTTGTTCCACTGGCATGCTCAGTCTTTGTATTTCTGTCATCTCTCAGGAAGGCCCATCAGATGGCCAGTCACTATAAACACACTCCAGCCCCCATTATACAAAACACAGAGGATTGAAACTCCCTACTCTGAAATTCAGTCACATACGATATATGTAGCAAGTCCAATTTATTTCCAAAAGCCAAAGGATACATACTTCAGAAGGCCAGGGGGAAGGGGAGTTCTGGCAGCAGTTCACACATAGGAAAGGACAAGAGCCCACCAAGTACATGTCTGCACCAGTGCTGCACAGTCCTGGGCTGGGTGAGCAGTGAATACTAGAGCACACACTGCCTCAAAAAGGCTCCACTGATTCCCTTCCTTCAGTAGCTGAGATCTCTGACCCAGCCACACAATGTAAACCCCAGCACAGGAGTCAGGCTTCAACCACTTGTGAACTACACAGACGCTGGCCATTCCCTGCTACCTAGGGTTTGAATAAGATCGATGTGGAATAAAGCAGTGCCAGGCTTTATTCAGACTAGGGGAAAGACAGCATAAAATAAACACATTTGGCAAATATATTGGATTTAAAGTTAACAAAGCTGTCTTTGCTCTTTTTCTCCATCATCCAGATAGAAAAGTCTAAGATTATTCCTTACCCAGTATTCTCTCAGGCTTAAGTAAATCATAGTTGTCCATGACCCATGCAATAGGACTTCTGTTGTTTCTTTAGGCTGACTGAATTCTAATAAATTTAGCTGTCATGAAGTTATTTGATCTTTAGTCTAAATTTTATTGTTTATTTAATTTTGTCATAACACTTCTGGTTATAAATGACTCTTGTCCCCCAGATATTCTACAGGGAGAAAGACTGTAAAGCAGTATAGCTTCATCCAAAACATTCGGAGGACACAAAGGTTTCCCTAACAGTTACAGCCCTGGGGTGGGTCATATCTAATCACATGAAAAATCCGCCCTTCCCTACATGATTGCTCATGGATACGTTGAAAAAACTCTTGCAAGCTTCCTGTGGATGCAGGAGCTGTGAGAAAGTGCAGTTAGCTAGATTAGGCTGCCCATCCTGTGGACCCTTCCAGCACGACTCACTAGGACCAATCCTGGGAGCAATGTGGATGCACGCTGAATGCTGGCAGAACCACAGCAGTGTCAGCCCTCTGTTCTTGGACAACTATTCTCCACCCTTCTGTAAAGTGAATGCGTAGTGCTGCCACCTGCTCTGATCCGGCAGTTCTGGGAGTACTGGGTTTCCTACACACGTGCAGGACAGCAGTGATACTGGTATTCAGTGAAACAGATGCTCCGAGGAGTATCAGTCAACCTGCCCTATGGGGCAAGGGAAAGGCTGCACCATGCTACCATTCCCTTACACAGAAAGGAAGCAAATAACCCATCAGATAAAAATCTTGGGCTTTGCTGGAGGAGGAGGTGACTTCTGTAAACCAGTCCCAGATCTACTTTCTACTATTCTCTAATCTGACACAATATGTAGGAATGGGGAAGAGTTGTGCCAAAGTCCTGAATGGACTTAACGAAGACATATATTTTCATACTGAACTGACTGGCTCACAGTTTCAAATATTTGTCCTGAAAGAAAGCAGAACAATACCTTTTGCATAGGCACTGCTATACCTGGCCAAATGGCAAAATACAGACCAGAGCTTCTTCCTTCTAGAAGAGTAATGCCGTCTATCCAACTGTGTTTTGGTAGCAAGCATTAAATTGAATTAGTCTAGGTTAAAAACATGGAACTATTCCCTGAAGAATCTTGATCTGAAGTTTTGGCTCTTGGTCCGTCACTTCACAAGCACCATGAAAACAAACTGAAGAGACAACTGCTTGATCCACTTTTGGAAAAATGTATTGTGCTGATAAATAGAGCAGGAGCATATAGCTACACCAGAACTCTCCCTACTGCCTTGCCAAAATAGACCAGCATAGACAGAATCCCAAATATCTCATCCCTTTCTCCTTCTAGCTACATTGTAATCATATTGGGCAGCTTCTAGAATTTAGGAAATATAATAGCCTATAAAATATCACTTCTTCTCATATGTGGGCTTATGAAAAGCTCAACCAATTTTTGCAACGTTAACTACAGTTTGCTGTAATGAAAAGCTTCTTTGCATATGGAGAATCTTTAATAATCTAAAGAGTTGGATCTGCTCCAGTGAAGTCTATGGAAGCCTGCTTATGGATTTCAACCATCCAGGCTCAAATCTAACAAGATTTATTCACAGAATCCCAGTGACACCAATTAGCTAGGCTAAATCCAGGCTGACCTAGGATATTTTATTATAGATGCAAGCAGTTCCCTTTGAGGAGAAGGGAATGCTTTGGTTCACAAACTCTATTTTGGTTTTGGCTAGATCTGCGTAAACCTGGAGTAATTCCACTGACATCATAAGAGTCACCCCAAATACACACTGATGACACCAAGAGCCGCACACAAGCCCCAGCGATTGAAAATGGGTACAGAACCCTTTAATTGAAGCTGAATCAAAAAGTAACAAATGGGAATATATTTTCTCAATTGCACTTCTGATTATTTTTAATTTGTAGTTAATTATTAATAGAGCCATTGAAGTCTAAGAATTCACATAAACCAGTACAATTTATGTGAGGAAGTGACCATACCTAATTAACGCCAATTGCTGGTTATTAATTACTATTTTTCTGGATAACTAAGGCCTCTAACACCTTAGGGTGAACCAGAACATCTAGTCTGCTTTCACAATCTATGAATATCTGGGATTTGTAGCACACTGAAAGGCCCACATTTTCTTGAGTATAACTTTCCCCTCCACTCAAACACATCCAAAATGAGGTGCAGGGAAATGTTTTTTCCTAGGTAGAATCTCAATGAAAACAATTTTGTTTTGCTTCCAAAACATATGAATTTTTGACCAAAATAAGCCAAAACCATATATGAAAAGAGAAAACTTTAGGCACAAAAACTCCATATTCTTCACAAGCCTTTTTTCTCAGAGAAAAATTTCTTTGAGATACCTTTTTCTCCACACTCTGCATAATGCCAAAGCATTAAGCCAACTACAAATATGTTAGGGTTAGTTTAAATATTATTTAATGTAACATCAAGAAATCACTTGAGTTCCTGGCAAAGTCTACTCATTCCTTTATAAATGTTTAAGGCTCAGAGGGACCATTATCATAATCTAGTCTGATCTTCTGCTAAACAGACAGCCAAGCATTGAGAGGAAACATTTTGTGGATATCATTAGTAGTGAGGTTTTGTATACCCAGTCTGGACATCAAAGACTCCATGGTGCCATTTGGAAGTTGCACTGTTCTTCTGTTCTTAACCTACCAGACTAAATTGGTGGAAATTCTCAAGGTAAATTAACTTACTCAGCCATCTTAGGAAATTACATCATACAGAGCTAGGATTATACAAAAAAATAGCCATTTACCTCATAGATGATCTTCACCTTTTCACCCCACTTTAACTTGCATCCAGTACTGCCTACCATTAGATAATGGCCTCTAGAGGCACTTGATGGAGGTATTGTACCTTTTAAACCTCCCAACACATGTAGTTAAACCTCTACACTCAGTAATGTCCCTCACTGAGGCTCACCTTGGGTCATTATGCCACAGAAGGGCGGCTGCAGGGGCATTATTATTTCATCACTGATGTCAGCAGCTAGGACATTTATCCAGATCCTATTTCATCCTCCAACGGGCTCCTTGCCACAGACGATGTCACAGGGTCAGGAGATCCAGTGAAAGATCGAGCTGAGGAGAAAGAGAAAGTCAGCCTTAGAACAGATCACAGAGGGGTAGTATCAAACACATTGTATCACAGACCAAAAGATTAGGAAGCCTCTGTAAAGCAGCAAGCTGGGAGATGCTTTCTCATTATTCCTACAACTGATATTCTGGAGCCAATCTGTAATCTTGAGTTTTCCAACAATCTGCTCAGCCTCGTGGCCTCATTTTTCTACTTCCCAATTCATGCCTCCTGGATCTATATAAAACAGTTTAACTAAAGTAATTTTCCTGGCCTGTTGTTTGATCCTGTCACTTGCACCAAACCTGAGCCAAAAACAGATCCAGTTCAGGCAGTGGTTTTAAGGTTTGTTTTCAAGTCCAAAAGAATGCGTGTGTTTGATTTAGATAGAACAGTAACAAATAATAACAATGCAATAGCTTGCAATAACAACTGAGCTTTGCAAGAATACAGTCACAGATGAGTCAAGAAAATAATCCTCTTTGTGATATGGGCTTAGAATTAAAATAGTATGGAAATAGTTAGATCTCTGGAGACATGCAAACACTCATCCAAAATGAAGCAGGTGTTTGTCACTAAGCACCTGACTTCTACTCCTTCGTAATGAAAATCAAAGTTGAATATATTTTTGCATCTTTATCCTAACTTACATAAACTGATTTCAACCAATTTAAAAAACAAAACCCTCCCAAACTACCAAAGTTCAGGGGCTTCCATTTTTGCAGCTCCAACATTTTCTACTAAGACATCTCCTATTCAGTGACATTTTAATTATTCAGAGCATCAGGGGTCTGCAAAAGGAACATGCTGTGTATTCTCCACTCACTCATTCATTAGTTTTAATTAAACCCTTTAATTTTATTTATGCTGTCATGGACTGATTAACAATTTGCAGAACAAACCAGGAAGTCTTAACCAGCGCCTTGAGAAATCTTCCTTGCTCTAAACAGAGATCTGCTATAATAACTACAGATCTGCAGAATTACAGTCTGAAAGGTAAAAGAAACCACATCAGCAGCTTTCCCAACACAATTTTCTTTCAGTTGTTTAACAAAACATATCTCAAGGCCTTAGGTGAGATTAACAAATGATGAGGTGTCCAAGGGATTCGACAGAATGAAACTGCAGACAGAGACTGCGAAAGTGCCTTTATTAGAAGCGATACACGGCTGAGCTGGAGCAGTATGGTGCCTAAGGAACCATGGATAAAGTCCCACTTTAGCAGGGACTCAGGACATTTAAAGTGTTACCAAAAGGACACAGGGCACTGCCTGTAACTTGTTAAAGGCGATATTCAGACAACAGTGTAAGTGACCCTAAGCAGGGTCTCAATAGCTGGAACTCACACATTTTATCATTCTTTCAAAATCCAGCCATCCATTTGAAGTGTCTGTAACTTGCACCTTCTTACAATAGACCTTCTATCTCTCAAGATCCTCATCATAGTGATCTTAAAGCACTTGGGACCCTCAACATCTATGTTATACCACACTTAAGTTCAATGATTTAAGTCCTCTGAAAACAGCCAGCCATACACTTCTGTGCTGCCCAGCTCAGCAATTAATTCTGGTTCCCAGAATTAGCAGTCCTTCCCCCAGTCTCTGCATCTGCTCTTTTCCCCATATTTTCCCCTCACATCTGTTCTGTCCCCGTTCCCCCACCTCAGCTGTGTTTTTCATCCCTTCTATCTGACTGGGGAAGACTACACCATGGCATTTTTTTTTCCCCTTTCCCTCCTAGGTGTACCTGCGCTCTGCAGCTGAGGCCAGTGGGATATAAGTCTGGGAGAGGAAGAAAGAAAGAAGCATCTCCGCTGAACAGAGCTCATTGAATAGATACGGGCAGAACACCCAGAGCTTCTGGGATTTAAGCTACTCTACTTGCCTTCTGCATGAACAACCTTTACTCCTATGAGTAAAGAAGGAAAACAAAAGACAATTAGACTCCTTCCACTGCTTTGGTGGAATTAACTTGCAGGACTTTGAGCCACCTGGTCCCTACCTTAGAAATATAACTTCCCACTCTCTGCTCAGCACAACATATCCCTTACACCGCTCCGGGTTACCTTTTGCTGCTGCTGAGTCCTCGCATAGCTATTCAAGCTTTTGTATGGCCCTTTGTGCAACCCAGCAAAATGGCAGCAACCCTACTATGAATGAGCGCGCTGTGCATCATCTCCCTCTCACCTGGTATGGGATCCACACCGCAACAGGAGGATCTAAGGGGGGTGAGGGATAACAGCCTCCTTAGGGACTAAAACCCTCCCTACCTCCCTTACTAAGTCAACCCCTACTGTTTTGCTTATAGGCTTGCAATTAAGGAGAAATAAATACAGAGCGAGGCACTTAAATGTCACCTTTCTGGCCTCCGTTTTGAGTACAAACAGAGGCCAGACAGGGGAATCTGTTTCAGAGTGTCAGTCTGAAGTGAACTAAAACAACACAACTCTTTATACTTTGGCACAGCCTTCAAAATCTGCTCACTCAAGAATTCAGCAATGAGCTATTTATAGAGATTGAACTACCTCCAGGCCCTGTGCATAAGGGTCTCCTGGGAGTGCCTGGCTAAGACAAAGCAGAGCAGTGCAAGCTGAATCTGCCTGCCTCATCATGAAGGTTGAATTTCCCTCTGGCCCAAGAGCATTCTGGGCAACAAATGAGGCCTCCTATAATGTACTCCAATAAAAACAGAGGCTTTAAAAAGAAATCAGCGTTTTGTTCCCTTCCAAGACACATAAATTGTTTTAAACTGTGCTATTTCAGAAGCTTTTGCAATTTCTTTTAGACGATGACTCCCTCTAGTGTTAAAGCAGGCAGATGGCAGCTATTGGGCCTACCTCTGCCAGCCTGATTTTTGAGGAGGTGTAAAGACTTTTGAGTACTTGAATATTTACATGCTACTCTTCCTGCCATGATCTGACAGTTCAAATACGGTCTTAATGTGACTCTCTGCCAATGAGCTGTAGGAATCATCATAACTATTAGTCACCACAAGGAGAATTAACACAGATCAACAGGTGAGAAAGTAGCAGTCTGCTACTGTCTGGATAAGATAGTAGCAGAAAATTCTGGCTCCGGGAAGGTAATGAGGCCCAGTGACTGCTGCTAAGATGCCACTGAATAGCTATGAAGTATGCAAAATGTGAAAGGATGGTTTGCAAAGACTTACTAACGTCTAGATTCTATTTCCCTCTCTGCCTCCAGTTGTTGGATAAAACTGCTCTGGCAACACCCTGCTACATGCTTACTCAGTACTTAAAAGCGAAGTAAACTTATCTGCTTTCTATATAGGGCCTTGAAAAACACTTGAGCATACACAGCTACAACAGATAGATAGCAAAGACAAAAATCTGAACTGATGATCTGGCTGCAAGGTCAGGAACGTTGCTCTGTGAGCTGCAGCAGATTTGGCTAGAAAGTCACTTTTTTCTTTCCTCTAGAGAAACACAAAGCCTAGCTAAGCGCAAAAGTGGAACTTTCCTAAAAAATTAGTATTCTCAAGAACTCTGGTTATACGTGAACCTTAGTCCAGAAATGTTTGCTGCTAGCATACACAGGAGGAAATGTAAAGAGTGAGCAATCTAATCACAGTAAAGGAGTGGGAGAAACCTTCACTTCTGGAACGTGTCCCCATTTGCAGTCATGATTTTTCAAACTTAATGTTACATTAGCACTAGATTTCCACATTTAATTTCTTAAATGCAACACAGCAGGGAGAGGGAGGGAGAAAAAAAAAATTTTATTTCTCAGCAATATACAAAATATTGTTGCTTGCCGACTACATGATTATTTTCAAAGAGCTTAGCATTTCTTTTAGGTTGATATATTAGCTTTATTACACTGGCATGGCTCTGAGAGATATTTGCCACTCAACTTGCTGGCACAAAGATATGCAGATGCTTTATTGCTGTGGATGGAATTCCCATTTCTGCCAATACTGCCAGCATTTCTGTACCCTCCTGAGAAGTAATGCAGCCCTTAAATCATTTATTATCTATTTTCATCTCAACTTCACAGTTTTAGCGTTTCATTTTAAAAGTGTCAGTGTGCCTCAGTTGGTAGCATTTTCACCACTAACACAGAAACCTCCCAGAGCATTAGCTTTGACCCACAGCTGACACTTCATCAGGAAAAGATCGAAAACTACAGAAGCTAAACTGGCATGCACTAAAATCTGTCACTGCCATCTGTTTTTTAACAGAACCCAGTGCTGTCTGTGGGCACTAAGATAATCCGTGCCTAGCAAACTGACCCCTCTAGCATAGCACTGGGATATCCAGCTTCTAAATTGGCCTCAGGCAGGACAAGGGTACACAGCTGATCAGCTCAGTCACAATGGCAGTATTACTGGGCATGGCCATAGCACAGCTGCTCAGGGAAGTTTTAGCTGAACCCTTAGTTGTCCACGCCATTGCAAACCTCTAAGCAGGTAAGGGAAGGTTTGTTCTCCTGCCCCGAGTTTAGGCACCTATTTCTTTAGAGCCAGTATGTTTCAGGCTGCCCAAGACACGTGTTTTTCACAGTGAGGGGAATTAGCCCCTAAAAAAACTTATCAAGTCATAGAGTGGATTTTCTGTTGTTCAGGGCATTTCAGTCAAAATGGGATGTCTTATTAAGCTGTCTGTGCTACCTCAGCTCCAAGACCTAGGCTCGATGTAGCAATTACTGAGCGAGACTTTTTATTGTGTGTCATGCAGGAGGTCAGAAAAAATGATCTAATGGTCCCGTCTGGCGTTAAGCTCTATGCATCTATGAATAAATGAAAACCTTAGGCCTAAGCACTTTGGGACAAGGAACTTCTTTAAATATTTAGCAAGGCACAGCATCCACTGGGACTGCTCTATAAATAAGATCACATGCCTGAGGCTCATCCATCTCAGAATGCCTTAATGCATGTATACATTTGCATGAAGAGAGTTGGAAGATGATGTTCAAATCCTGGGGTCACGCCTTTCTGAAAATGTAGTGGTTCAGATTACCTTTTTCTTAGCTAGTCTGCCCAAGCCTTTCTGTGCGCTGGCTCCTTTGCGGTCTGTTGTAGTTCACGTACAGCATTTCCTGAGAATGAGATCCATAAATATCATGTCGTGAAGTCCTTCCTTAGCTTTTAGTTTGCCAAAATACATTAAAAAAATGGGCAGGAAAGCTCTAACTTAAAAAGCAAGAATGAAGATTTACCCAACTGTCAAAATGGCACATCCTTAACAGCACAACCAGGCCACTAAGGGGCCAGGGAGAATCATCTCCTGCTATGAACCAGGAAAGTATACATGGACATAAGACAGGTTATTACTGGGTAGAGCCACAGTCTGGACATGTTTCTCATGGAATTCCAAGGCCAGGACTGTAAGGATAACATTGTACAGTAGGAAACTGAATAAAAATGATAGAATAAAAAAGAAAACACTGCCCATTTCTATCTCATCCTCAACAATAAATTACAGAACCTGCTTTTTCATTACCCACTTCAGAAGCCTAGCAACTAACTGTTTCCTTTCCAAGGTGTTATCTCATTTGAGCTTTCTTGGAAGCCTGTTTGCATTTCCTCACAGCCCTCCAGGACTGACAGCTGAGCTCTGAACTGTTGCTTTACACGCTCTGCCAGGATCCCTTCCAGTACTCTCGTAAGGCTGATGGAAAAGGAAGAAGTCCACACAGTTTAATTTCCCAGTCTTGCTAGTTCAACTCAAAGAGCATAATTACTCTATGTCAAAGGCTGCCACAACCAGCTCCAGCAAGGATTAAGTGTCACCATTAATGCTAGCATGCTAGAGGGTGAAGACTGTAGCAACAGGAACATAAAAAAAAAAAAAAACCTAAACAAACAAGCAGAATTTGTCCTGCCCAGGAAACCACACTGCCAGTGATTTAGCAGAGTAGCTGCAGTGCACCTCAGTCATCTACACATAGGGAAAAAGAAGAAAACAAGGTCAAAAACAATGCAATACTGCAGTAAAATACTGAGAGACATGCATGGTTGGAACTCTGCTGATCACTGCATGAAAGGATCAGAAGGCATGCATGAATGTAGCTGAGAGCAGAACTGAACCTTTAGTTCATCAGAGGTTAATTTTCTCTGTGAAGATGACTGCACTGGAAATATAACTTCAAAGTCATTCAGTTTTAGAATACAGATCTTGTATTTTTACAGCCTCACAGAGGATAGTTCCAGGCCATAGCTGAGGCTAGGAACAGATTTAAACCATAGATCACACCTGCTTATGCACAACTACGTGTTAAGGTAAATGACGTGTACGCTGCTGTAAATGTACCCATCTCACAATGTTGAGGCTATTGCATCAAGTATGGACTACCACAGAATGAGCTTTCAACGTCTATGGTATCTATCTATGCTAGGATTTTAATGGAGCCACATTGATTTTCAACTGCTGGGAGACCTGGCTTCAACAGACTTCAGTCAAACAGCCTTCATTCACACCACCTGGGAGACTGACCCAGTTTGCAACAGACTAATTGCGCAATATGCTAATTATTTGTACATCATTCCCAGTGTGTATGGTGTTTCACAGACAGATGACATTGATCAGTCTCTGCCTGGAGGGCCTGCCATATTCTTGTATTATGACTTCAGAACAGTCTCACAAAGATCATCTTCAGTCCTAAATATTCTAGTAGCTCCCTCACATACAGAGCACATAGGAATCTTTATGCACCAGCTATACCAGGGAAGTTTGGCGTCACTGTCAGGATTCCAATACAATTGCTTTGTTCTGCTAGTACCTGACCCTTAGCAATAGTATTTAACTTTGGACTATAACCTCTTACTTCTGGACTTAGTACTGACCATCTCCCACATTAGAAATCTGTTAACATATAACAAAATCGTTGCTCATTTTCCATTCAAGCTTGGGAAAGAAATAGCTTTTCATTTGAAAACTCCTCTCTGGCAAATAATACAAAGCTCTTTTTTCCTTCTTCCAGGACAAGTTACCTTTTCCTCCTCATTAATCAGTTTCTGGAAAACTGAGCATACCCCTCCAAACAGCAGATTAGTTTTGACAACAGCTTGATATTGCTCTGTCCTTAAATGCTCCCTGGTTGCTGCCTTTCTCTCTCCACTGGAAGGCTTGGCGCTCCGCATTTACAATTGTTTCAGCAATTACAAAGCATCATTCCTTTACTTAGAAGATGGCAACAAAGGTTTAAAAAAAAAAAAAAAAAGGCTTTCATTCTAGTTCTGCAAAGGAAATTTGCAGTAATAGCCTACTTCAAAGCTAGGGAAACAAACAAGACTTTATCTTCTAAGCAGTGTCTTATCTGTCTGCTGACCTTTAAGGTCTTGGCCTTATGGACTTTAGAGGACCAGTTCTGTGTTTCCTTGAGACTTCCAGGGATTGGGGGCAGCAGGGAGAAAGGGAATGGAAGGAAGGGAAATGAGCATCTTTAGCCAAGGACTTGTGATTGTAGTTCAGAATAAAGTCAGGCCACCAACATGTTTGAGAGTCATTCATTCAAGCCATGGGTATTAACATCAGCGGGTAGTAAAGGAAATGGTATAATTTCTCACAGAGAGCTGGCAACATGAAGAAGTCAATAGAGAAACAATTTTATGCAATTATCTGTGCTGGTGATTTAAGAGAAAATACAACAGAACTCTCACTCTTAGAGCAAGTGTGTAGGGACTCTGCAGGTGTGTTATATATGCCACAAATTGGGTAAAAGAGTTTCAGTGACACTTGAAATGCTTGAATCACTGACCATTTCATTTATCAAGAAAGCTTTACTATAGTAATGTGGGCTCCATTGATGCATTGTAGAAACACATTTGAGAAAATGTTCAACCACCACTGTCCTAGAGAGACTGCTGCATCCTGAATTTAGCCATCTATCCACCATAAACAGTAAGGGGAGCCCAGCATGACCCAGACAATAAAAAAAAAAAAACCCCAAACCCAAAATCTTACGCTAATGGAAGTATCAGGGAGCAAAGTTGTGAAATGCCCAAAAGATTCCTCATGGAACTAGCCACTGAGATCAGTCAGGATCTTTATGCTCAGTTTAGGATTGGCCACACCATATTCATACTGGCTCCTAGAAAGCCCCTTGTTCATTTCTCCCTTAGGATCCCCAGCAGACAGGTTTCTGAGAGCACACCTGCTCCCAGGCTACTTCTAAACAAACACAGCTCAGGAAATGATATATCACAGCGCCTACCAGATTCAGGTAGGTGAACACTGAATTAGAAGAGTGGATGAATTAAGCAAAGCACACCTCACTGCTGCACTAGGGCTGGAAGAAGCAGAAGTCTCGGACAGATGAAGTACTATCAAACTGTACAATGCTATCAAACTCTAAAAGATTTGTTAGTGAACTTGTCCTGTTAGAGCTGTAAAGACAGAATGCAAAGCACAATTACCAAACACTACCTTTGCTGAGCATAGCTAGGAAGACCAAAAAAATCACAAATCACATACTAGTATGAAACTTGCTGCTGAAAAAAAGCAATTTTTTCCACCTCTACTACCAATTTAACAAAGAAATCTTCTCTCTATATACACCCTAACCTATATCCTTAAAATTGCATGACTAAAATCACATTGCATCTGGTCATTCACAAGCATGCTCTTTGCCCTTTCTCTGTTAAATAGCTGTGGCATTTATTTCTGCATAGCTATGATCACATGTTCTACATGCAGGCTGACTAATCAGTAAGATCTGGGATTTATTTCGATCAAAGGTGCACCATAAACGTATCATCATCACTGGAACAAGATTTCTTTTTCTCTTGGTCTGTACCATTTTGTTGAAAGGACGCGTGAGAAGGATAAGATATCATCATTCTGTAACTTACTTTTATACCCCTTGCCCTCATCCCTGAATAATTTACAAAATAATAATACATTTTTTAATCTGCATCTTGTTTCAAGACAGTCACCACAAAGAGACGACAATAAGACTACACAGAACAGGGCAACTAAAAGGGAGTTGTAGAATAAAGCAACTCTGTGGTCAAATTGAATCACGTAAATTCTCCCTTGGAGTCAGGAGTTCAAATCTAGCTGCCTCAGCATTGTATTAGCAAAATACTTCCACATCTAATCTGTATTTATGCCCTCACAGTTGGCCCAAGGTTCTCAGTAAATAAAATTCAGTTCTGCTCTCCAAAGGGGGAGGTAGTGTGTTCAGGACTCTCCAGCCACTAGAACGGAGAGATAGAAGGAAAGGGAAAGAAGGAATGGAAAGCAAGTGAAGGCTTGAAGAACACAGAAAGAAATGAGGAAAACACAGCATCAGCTCCTGCAGCAGATGCCAGTAGCCAGGAAAGCTATTACCTTTCTCACGTCCCATAAAAGTCAGCTTCTCTAGCCAATTTTTTACTTTGCCTATAACTAATCCTGCTGCCAACTCCCATGAATTAGTGTAGCATCCTTTACTCTCACTTCACGCAGTAACACCTTTGCTGCAATGAAGTTGTACGATTACTGCAACATCACTATTTTTGCAGTCCTGGGCTAATTTTGTGACTGGAACACGCTTCCTCTCCTGAGTTACCTACTTGTCAAAGCACAGCAACCTGATTTCAAAGCATGTGAAGAGGAAGAATGGAACTATTCAAATAAGCCCCATAAGCAATCCTCCTGTGGCTCCAGCCTTGCAGGCACATCTGCCAACAGGCAACACCTCTGGGCAAACCTGCCCAAGGTGATCTGTGGGCTGGGGCGTCATGGCAAGCAGCCCTCAGTTGGGCCCGTGCATTGCCTGGGGAAACCACTGTAACAACGAGGCCTGCCTGCCTGCCAGCCACCCCCGGCGACAGCACAGCAGAAACCCCCACAGAA